GGGGGAGGTATCAGGGGCAATGGGGAAAATACAGCCTCGGTCCCGTATGATGGGTGCAGAATTCATCGGTGCCCATCTTCCCTCACTGACAGCAAGGCTGGTGTGCCGGGAGTAGTGCCCTGCCAGCCGCTCTGCACCGAGCACGGCAGCTTCACGTACTGGTTTCCTTGTTCATACGGACCAGAAATAGCACGGCTTCTGCACCGCGCTGGAGTTTACTCCTTCGTTGGCGTGGGTCTTGGGAGTACTTAGAAATGCATCTGAAGCCCTTCACAGTGGAAGGAGCAGTGTAAGCAGACATATCCCCTTTCAGACTCACAGGAAAGCCAAGCCAGGAAGCATTTTGTCTCCTCTTGTGCTGCCTTTGCTCGTCATACGGGATTTGCTGGTAAAACAGGAGATGCCCGTCAGCTTGGTGGAACCACTCCAAGGACTGTGGGGCCATTACTGAAAATACAGACTGAATGAAGGAGGAGGCAATAGCAAAATGCGTGGTGTGCTAGAAATAATAGTAACAAAACAAAGAGAAGCCACTTGGTGGGTGGGGATAGACCTGTAGCATTCTGCTGTAAAGGGAGAAATGAGTTTAAGAGAACTCCTTAGATATAAAGAATAGTCTTTTTAGCACTCATGCCATGACCTAGCAAAAGGGGCTGGATGTGGTGAGGAAACTCGTCTGTAGTTTGACATTTGCAGAACTCGTAGAGAAACCCCGCTCTCCCTGTGCCCCCAAGAGAGGCTGTTTCTGCTGCTGCTTTACTGGGCTTGTAGCAGTGAGGATCACCGGGGGGGTCCTGTACACCCACCGCAGGGTTTTCCAGGCCGTGGTGGCATCAGGGTGTTGTTCCTCAGGACATGGACCGCGGCTGCCCTGCGGGAGGTCCCCCTCCTCTGTCCCTGCCCCATCCCTGGGGCCCTCCTGCAGCTCAGGAACTGTTAGTTTACCTTCTGCTGAGAATTCTGTTTTTGTGTCTCTTCTACCCACCTATTAGAAACTTGTCGACTTAAATCGGGGTGTTTGTAAATGAAGCTGTCTGAGCACAGGGTGGGAAATTCCTGACCTCGGAGCGTGCTGGAGGGGACATGCTGTGCAAATGCTCTGGTTGGGCACAGCAGCTTAAACTGCAACACGTGTGACACACAAGCTGCTTGATGCTGTCTTGGTTTTGTAAAAGCCCCGGCCAGCCTGCTGCGGAGATTGCTAGTAGAATTCTGGCCTTGCAGCCAAGGGCTCTGCTGGAAGAGACTCCAGCTGCTACTTAAGAGCATTTCTTTTAGGGAGTGACAAAGCACAGACTCGGCAGCTTGACCTGGACTATCCAGGCTTAAATGGGAACTTAAATAACAGCCCCTCAGCTGTCAGCTTCAGAGAGGAGAGCTTTAAAGCTTGCTCTTAACTAATCGCAGGATCACTCTGCAGGCACAGATAAAGAATAAACCCAGTTGGTCTTGTGTGTAATATGCACGGATGCTAATTAATCTTCAGATTAGCTAAATCTAATTCTGTCTCTCTGGACTGTTATAAATTGAAAGCACTGTGCTGAAATCTGTAGAGTGACATCTGTCTTATGCATAGATGTATATATTAAAAAACAGTGAGAAAAGACCAAAGTTCCTAATCTCTATGCAAAATAACGTCTTTGACATGCTGTGCTTCTGCACTATAGGATGTCTTCACTCTCTCAGAGAACCTTTGGATTTTAGTGAAGGTTGGTTTTAGCTCGGGGGGGTCCCAAAGGCCAGACACTTAGCTGGTGGTGGGTGGTGCCATTCTTACCTGCCCGAGGATCTGGCTGGAAGAAAGTAAACAGTATTCCAGGTGAAGGCTGGCAAATATATATTTCTAATGACTTTTAATTATATTATGGCTTGACACTCTGTCCAGATGTAGCACCAGTCCAAATGTTTGCACAGACGTGGGGCGATAGGCTTGGAGATGTTGCTTCTGTTGGCCATGGGTGCCCTGTGGTGCTCTCTGATGTCTGAGTCCTACTGCACAATTGAGACATTTTTTCCCAGCACTTTTCTCGAGCTGCAACTATTGCTTTCTCTTCAGTTTAGTGTTGCCTTGCTCTTCCACCTCGCTGCACTGTTTCTATACCCTCACTTCAGAGTGGTGTGTTTGCTGGGCCTTCCAAGCTGATACAGCTGTAAAATCTGGCTTTGGTATTCTCAAGTTTCCCTCCACAGAACAAGAGCTCAAACAAAAACAACCTAAGCCACACAGCTTAGCAGTCCTGGAATTAAACATTTTATTTCCACTGCCCTCCTTGGCGCTGTGGGATGTCAAGCAGGAACACAGTAGGTCCTTCAGACTACTTCAAAGTGGGAAGTGTTGAGGACGTGCTTGGAGAGTGTGTTGTTCTGTTTTGCTAGCTGTGCAGTTAAGAACAATGCATTGAAAAGATGCCGTGAATCAGTATGTCCGAGAAGTAAACATCCATCCCGTGCACTGAACATTGCTGCTTTGCTCCCGCCTGACACGTGCCCAGCCCCATGCTCACTCCACTGCCTCTCTGTTGCAGCGCTGCGAGACCTGCAAGCAGGCGGTACCAGGGGACTGCCCGGTGGTGTACGCTGACAGGGCGGGCTACTCCCGGCAGTGGCACCCGGCGTGCTTCGTGTGCTGCCGGTGCTCCGAGCCCCTCGTCGACCTCATCTACTTCTGGAAGAGCGGGGCCGCCTGGTGCGGACGCCACTACTGTGAGAGCCTCCGGCCACGCTGCGCCGGCTGCGATGAGGTAGGGACCAGCTGGGTTCCCTCTGCCCGGTGCTCCCTGCCTGCGCTGGGGGCCTGGCGCAGGCTAATTCAGGGATTCTCTGGCATGTGTCTTAACCTGCTTGCCTACCCGTGCCTCCCGGCATGCCGGCTGGGAGCAGCATCCTTCTGGTGCTGGTCACCAGGGCTGCGGCTGCTCTGGGGAGATGGAGGTGCCTAAAGAAAATGGGGTAAAGCTGTGTGATGTTAATGACGCTCGGTTAACTGCACCATATCTATCTCAGAGCAACAATACAGCTCTAGTTGCATTTAAAACCTGATGGGTTTATAGTGCTTAATTGCAGCCCATGACTTTGGCTTAATTGCTCAGGAGCAGTCCCGTGCTGTTTATTTACCCCTTCCCAAAGCCTGGCCTCCATGGCCAACAGGCTTGGTGGGAGGTGTGGGGCTGGTTCTCCCTGCTCCTGCTGTGCTCCGGCTTGGCGAGATGGTGGAAATAAGCAATTGTCTGTCTGTCCTGTAGATCATCTTCTCGGAGGACTACCAGAAGGCAGAAGGGATGGCCTGGCACAAGAAGCACTTTGCCTGCCTGGAGTGCGAGACGTTGCTGACTGGCAAACCCTTCACTCTGGACAACGCCAGCCTCCTGTGCATGACCTGCAGCAAAAGCAAATGTCTCTGAGCAGGGATCAGCCCGGGGGCGAAGTGGGCTCCCCAAGGTCCCACCAGGACTGGGGTCATTTGATAAGTACATGAGAAGGGGAAGGTTAAAAAAAAATTAAAGCCTGACTATTCACTTGCAAGCAACTAAGTGCCCCCTTGCATCCAATACAGCTTGCAGGAGAATATTTCCTTGGGGAGGAAGCAAAGGAAATTCGTACGCCTGCGGGTGGGAGGTACATGGTGTGTCTGACTAGGAGGGACTGGAAAGGAGGTTCTGTGTTGTGCTGTTTTTTATAAAGTCTCTCCAAGCTTCTTATGACTAAGATCTTGCAATAGTCTTTTGGAAATAACACATCTCAAAAGTAACTTTTGGCATACTAAACCTACAGTCGTGGTCAAAAACAAGGGTTGTTAGTATTTTTTGAAATCCATGCTGGAAGGTTACACTAACAGGCTGCTGACAACTGTACTAGAGCAATGGGTTTGAAGAATTTGATTAACCCAGGTGATTACTTTCTGAAACCAAATAATATAAAATTGCAGCAACATGTAGCTATAGCTTTCTCCTCCTAAGTGTACAAAAATGTAAAAATAATGAGTTGGCACACAGGGCAATTGGTTTTAACCCTGGTGAGATGGGAAGGGTGCAGCTCTGCCCCGGAGCAGCTGACTGGCTCAACCCTTGTGAGCTTTAGCCCTGAAACTGGAATGCAAAAGCATTCCTGGCAGGTCCCACCGACCAGGCTCCCTGGCCTCTCCCCTGCCTCCGACTGCCTGTTATTCCAGGCGAGCATGTTTCCACAGAGCAGCATTGTTCCCACTGCGATGCTGGAGGTCGTTAAGCATGTAAAGTATGGGCCTTTATTTTGGCTGGGTTTGACCAGGAATTTTATGGAAAACAGCTTTCCAGCCTAAGCTGTCTTGGCGGAGGCGGGGGGGTGCCTGAAATGCTGCAATGCTAGTTTTTCCCTGTGATATATCAGTGACCCCTTCCGAGAACCAGGGAACCGTACCTTCCCCTCGGAGCCGGCAGCACCCTCGCCCTGGGCTCTGCCCTGCTCCTCATCGTGCAGCTCTCCTGTCCCTAGGGGAGGTCCCCTTCCCCTCCTGGATCTGATAGGGGTGACACTGTCCCAGGATCCGGCACTGAGTCTCTGCAGATAGTATTTGTTCCCTACATCAAGTGATGCTTCTGGTAGTCGCTGAAAATATTAACTAGTCCAGGCTGGCAGATATCTGTGTGCTCAGTCTTTTTTTCTTATATTAAATGTCTACATTCTTTGCCAGAGAACTGGAATATTTTTTGCAGAGGTGAGTGTACAATGAGCTCACAATTGCTGGGTTTTTTCTGCTACAGAAGATGCTGTTTCTCTTTAAAGCGTGCTCCATGCTGTGGATGTTTGCTTGCTTATGATAAAATAACTTGCAAATGAGCGTTGGGGGGAAACTACCTGCTGCAGGGTTAAAGCATGTGAGTCCGGGACGGACTCTGCCCCTCTGCTGTGTGTGTCAGGGGGTGCCCTGCTCCGCTGCTGGGGAAGGAGCAGGCCAAGTCCATCACTATCTTTGAGTAGGTGAGACCAATGTGGTCTAAAGACATAGCTGTACACGTGTGTGGGGGGGGAAACCACCTCTTATGCTTTGTCCAGCCCTGTGCTGTTGCATGGTTGATATTCCTGGAAACGCTGGGGTATTTAAAAATTAAATGAAATGCTTGCTCCGGAGCTGGAGTAGAGCAGGAAAATCCCAAGGTGGCAGAGACAGCCATAGCTGTGGGGGTGATGGACGTGTGTTGCAGGGTATCACGGTGCACGTGCTCCTGGGGTCGCTTGTCCATCTTGGGTTATTCAAGGGATGTGTTGAGTGCCTGGGGGTGTTGCTTCTGTAAACTCAATCAGATGCTGCAAGTCAAGAGAGGATGCATAAACCTGAAGTTGTGTGAGGAATAATAAAGCTCTCTTGGATCAGCCTTGGATACAGCTACTTTGGTTATAAGTGGGAATGAAAAATAAAGCCCAGTGCTTAGCTTTATTGCCTCTTCCTCGTTTTGTTACAAGGGAAATATCTTTACATCTTTTTAAAAAAAAAAAAAACTTACAGGCGCATTGTTGTTCTAAACCCTGCGATGTTAAGGCAGCCACAAGTGCACACACTCGGTGTAAGAAGGGATAGGAATAGTGTGAGTCACCTATGAAATGCTATTTCAGCACAGCCATTAACAGCCAAACAGGACAGTCAGTGTTGATTTGTGCACACAGCTGGTTACCTCCAAGAGTGATCTGCCTACAAGGTAGGTGCACAGCCAGCACACAGGTGTCTGGAAGAAAATTAAATGCAAAAAAAATAATCAACAAAACATTGAGTTTTTAAAAGTGAAAGACTATTCTAAACTACTACCATCACAGAAAACTGAGTGCTGCAGTCTTCTCCCTGGGTGTTTTTGGTTTGTTCTGCCTTGGCTGGCCACGTAGTCCTTGCAGGGTTTGTGATAATCTGAGCACAGGGGAGGGGTGAGCCAGACCCCTGACTGCAGTAGGGTGTTCTTTAAACATCTGTGTCTGAATGGGGATGCTGGCCATCCCCCCTCCAGAGCTGCTTCCCCCTGCAGCCACCTACCCTCCCCAGCTGAGCGTGAAACCAGGGGCTGGCAGGGGGGGTCTGTGCCAGGCAGCATAGTCCTGTTCCCAGGCTTGGGGGACCCCATGAGCTGGGTGCTGTGCTCTCAGCACCGACACTATTGAGCCCCATGAAGTGTGCAGTGACAATTTTTCCTTTCTTGAGTATTTGACACCAAGCAAGCTAGCTTAAGAGCTATATGGTGTGCATCAAGTTCAGATGAGACTATGGTGGGTGGCTTGGGCATGTCCCCAGGGTGGGGGATGCTTGTCTGGACCTCAAATGTCTGTTGCTAAGCCTGTATGGGTGGGGACCCTCGTCCTGTGCCTCTGTGCGGAGAGGGCTGAGGTTGCTCCCAGCTCCCTATGGTTGGCATGTTTGCTGCATCTGTGGGGCAGCACCTACACGTAAGCCCTTTAGAGGTGGGATTTCCAACAGACCCCTCTTCTTGTGCAGTCTTCTCCCCTGCCTGGGGAGGTGTGTAGGTAAAGGGGATCCCCTTTCCACCACTGCCAGGGTTAAAAACCAATAAAGCCTCACAAGGGAGGCGGTGGAGGAGAGCTGGTTCTTGTTTTCTCTGCTGCAGAAGAATGTGTGTGGTGGGAGCTTGAGTAAATGTCAGAGCAGAGGCGCTGGGAGAGGATGGGGTTTTGGGGGGAGCGCTGGCACCCCAACACGGCATCGGGGAGGGAGGCATAATGCTGAGACCGGTGCCTGCCTCCATGTCCGGCACTGCCTAACTGTCCACTGTGGCGGTGGGTGGCCCTCCCCTTGTCCCCAGCCGTCGCTCCTGGGGGCTGCGAGGGGTCATCCCCACCACCCTCTCTGCGGTGGGATGGTCTCCGGGTGAGAGGGGTGTCAAGTCCACTTTACGTACAAGGATTGTCCTCAACGATGGTACCTTTGTCGGGCTTATCTTACTGGACTGTGACCGCAGATCCACACATAGTAGCATCAACTTCTTACACAGTCTGCCCCCATTAACACAATCCTCCATCACTAATGTCTTTATTTGGCTACTTGGAAAACAGGTACCACTGTAGCGTGTTCTGGTTTGGGTTTTGATTTTGTGATCTATAAATGGTAATTCTTGTCCTCTGAAGTCCCTGTTTCAGCATACACATGATTGCTTCAGGCTTTTTGGACTGCTGGCATCCACTCAAGCCTTTCAGGTATTTTTGCAGCTTGTAAAATACTGTCTGCTAAAAAATTTACTACAATTAAACAGCTTAACAAAATCCTGTGCCTCTCAAGTGTCAGGAGCGAAAGCATTAAATTAATGCATCTAACAGCTCAAAACGTATGTGAGTCTTTACACTGAAACTCAATTTTAATATCAAAACTAAGCATGAGAAGATATTCACCCCAAGTGAAGACATTATAGCAAAACATAGCGTAGTTTATCGTCTAGCACAAAAGAGGCCGCTGGAGCTGCCTTCTGCAGGTCATGAGCTCTGGGTTTCAAGAAAGTTAAATTTATGGGGGTATGCTGGCCTGTCTAATAGAGAGCCATCAGCAAGCAATACACAAAATTAATAAAAATCAAGGTGCTTCACAAGGTTACTACGTGCGACAGGAATAGGCTATGGGTGAAGACTGTGTTGTGTGACTATTGGAAAAGCGTCTTGTGCCACAGCTGTGTCCAGTCCATCGTTTCAAATAAAAGCTCCTGTACAAAGACCGCTCTATCCTGTCTGGCTGTGTGTGTGACCTTTAGCTGGTACAGGCTGCTTTGGGACCCCAGCCGAGAGGGTCAGTGCACAGTGCGGCACTCGAGCCCCCAGACAGTTGACGTGATCTCCTTCTCCGCCCACAGCAAAGGTCCCTGGCAGAGGACGGTGTCAGCAATCCCGCTTGCTGATTCAGCTCATCTGCATTGTGTTGTGGCCAGACAGATAGGGAGATGAAATAAAAACTAATGAAGAAGCAGGCAGCAGGATGGGGAACAGGGACTGGGGTGCGATGGGATGCTCAGACCCTGTCTGAGTGGGCATCTCCCAGGACTTGCCGTGCTCCTGCAGCTGAAGAGCCGTGTTTGTACGCGGCCCCGAGTGAGCAGCTCGTGTTCGCATGAACGGCTCAGGTGAAAAGCCTCTTGCCTGGCTGTGGTCGGATGGCTAGGGTGATAAGGACCTAAGACGTGGGTCTTTCTCCATGCTCAGGATGCTGCGCAGAGGTTAAGCTTTCTAAGTGGCTTTGGCCAGAGAGACATGCCCAGTCTCCACATCTGTTCCTGTGTCCCAGCATGCTGGCTACCTGAATTAGTTTGTTTTCTCCCCAAGCTTTGCACTGGGTTCCTTTAACTGGAAAATCCAGGCGTTTGGATGCTTGAAGCTGCTCGTCCCGGCTGTGCCAGGTTTGCTCTCTGCCAGGTGAGAACAGACGGGGCAGGGTGAGGGATTTCGTAACAGCTGCGTACGGCAACAGGTCTTGCTGTGCCGACCAAGCACCATGGTGTGCCGAGGACCTCGGCCGCCCTTCCCAGGGAGGTGGCAAGGCTGGGGGGTGACAGTGCCACAGGGCCAGTAATGTTTTCTGTGCTGCCGATACGTGAATTTCAGTGCTGCTGCTGTGAAACCTCTCTGTGGACGTGGACGCTGCTCATTTCAAATGCTGCCGCATGGTGCAGGGGTCCCGCACGGATGGTGCGAAGCGCTGGCGTCTGCCGGTCGGAGCAGTCCGTAAGAGCTGAACCGGTGAGCTGAACTTCTCACCTGGTGGGTTTTTAATATTAATCTAGCTCTTTCATGGAAGCACAGGGATACGTTGCATTGTCTAACGGTCAATTGAGCACCGTGTATTGCAGTAACTGATGCCAGTGTTTTAGCTTGTGAATCTGCAAAGGACAAACCTCTCAATTTCCTCTTGTCGATGGCCAAAGATGGCAAGCACAGGGCTTTGTGCCTCCTACGTGAACATTCAGCTCCAATTTAAACTCAAATGTTCTGTATAATTGTTCTCCTAAATACAACCGACAACACACGACAATGTTCCTAAAACTTTAAGTAAACTATTTCTGGATATGAAAGTCTCCCAGGTCTTGCTTCGGTTCCCTTCCCGGTCTCGGGGTGGGCGTGCTGCCTGAGGGAAGGGCAGGAGAGCAGGAGCTGCAGTGGGGCAAGGGCTCCTGCGAGGAAGAGGGAAGGAGGACCGTCGGAGATGCTGCTGCTTTTCACAGGCCAGAACACGCCGCCATCCTCACATCCGAGACGCCAGCTGGTGTTGGTAAAATGGGCTGCGACAGCCAAAGAGACTGAAACAGCAGAGCAGGGGCCAAGGGTGTGTGTAGAGACAGAATTCATGTGAAATCGTGCTCCTGGGAGGGAGCCCTGCCCACGCAGGCGTGTGTTTAACGGTGAGGAGCTGGCTGCGGGCGGCAACGGGGTTCCTGGGGAAGCCTTCCTGATTGACCCTGCAAAATCTGTAGATGCTTAAATATTGGGATAAAATTAACTTGTTGCCCAGTGCCATTACTTATTTGAGGTTAATTATTTAGCAGGCTTAGTGAGTGCAGTTGCCCCCAGTATTTCCTCAAGATGGTCTAGGAGAAGAAGCACTTTGAAAATAAATTGTTTAATGGAGGAGAAATGAATATTGGAGTGTGGCAGCTCTGGCGGGGAAGGGTGGCCATGCCTGAGCCCTGGCCCTGGGCTGCAGCCCACAGTCTGGCACATGCCAGCAGCCAAGGGGTGAGCCTCCAGACCCGGCCGGGGCACGAAGGGCTGTGCCAGGAGCGGGGAGGTCCTTCACCTGCTCCCTTGAACTGCAGACCCAGCCGGGAGCGTGGGGTGGGTGGGAAGGAGGGCAGAGCCCATTGGCAGAGAGAAAATAACCATTGACTGGGGAGAAACCACATTTCAGCTGAAGTTTTGCAAGCTGAAGTTTTTCAAAGCTTAACTGATCTGAATCTACAAATATTTGCAGTGCTGTCTTATTTGTGGTCCCTTTTTTATTTTTTTTAAGAAATATTTGAGGAAGAAAAAGGGACCGTCTGTTTGTGATTTGGGAGGATTTCGCCAGTGGAAAGGCAGAGGCTGTTTAAGGACAGCGGCTCCATTCGGGTCACCTTCCTCCTCCCAGGTTTCCCACGGCATCCCCCCTCGCCACCGGGGCTGTCACCACCCTGGGGCCACGCGTCCACTGGGGCCGGAGGAGGAATTGGCCCCAGCTGCGGGGGGGGGGGGGTGTGGGTCCTGCCCGG